CTTGTTCCTGGTTTGATTGGAAAATTTGTCTGCCTTGTCAGTATTCACAAAAAGTATGTGGGGATACATCGGTATGTACAAATAGTTATAGTTATGCAAAACCATCACCACCCCAATAATTAACAACATTATCAAGGGTTCATAAATGATGTCCAAGTTTAGAAGCTTCTCCCTTAGGGGAAAAAAATCTATCTCCTCCAATTCTTTTGTGATGTTCTTGCAAACCTTTTTGTTTGAATAGTATTAGCCTACTGTAAGTTCTTTCTGTATGCATGCCTAGCCAATATCTGAAATGTATGCAAAACATCTATAAGTCAAAACATTTTTCTTATGATTTTCTTTTGTCATTTTGAGGTTTTTGAAGTATGAGGAAAAAATCTTTGGGGAATCAGAATACTATTGTGATGAGGCTGTGTAAGGCACTTTGTTTTAACCATAATGCAAGGACAGGAATAATTTATGTATTAATTGCTATATTAGTCTTCCACTTTTCCTCCAGAAAGTTCAAGGCAGCATTTATGTAAGATCTGGATTTTGATGTTCTGGCACGAAAGTATCATGAACAAACTCTATTTCCTGGAAAAATCTGACCTTCCTTTCATAAATCAGAAATGCCACTTCAAGTTTATGAGAAAACAAGTGATGGTGTATCCATGAGGTAGCTGCTTATTTTCCATAAGAATTCCGTTAACCCTGAGTTCCTCACACAGGAACTGTAAAGCATTGCTGCATTCTCATGCAGCTGCAGGCCCTCCAGTTCCTTTCAGTTGCTGGATCAGAAAGTGTACTTCCTGGAATGTCAACAGGGGGTTTGTTGTCTGGCCTTCACGGTAAAGATTCCCGAACCAAGACACTCAGGTTTCATGAAAACAGACATTACAGGCATTAGATGGATCACTGAATGACTCACATCTCATTTAATTAATTGCCTTGTGCTTGCTTTTCTACCACAAGTGTATTCAATGTGACTTGAGCAAGATGCTGAAGCCCCTGCAAAAGAGCCCCATGTTGCCCCCACTCTTTTCTTCCCTATTTGAAAAGCTGAGTTAGTCATTGTGGGCCAATCTCCGGCTGTACTTCTACCCTTCCCTCTCCCAAAGTGGGTGGTTTTGACTGCAGCTCATTCCCCTTGCTACCATCGTCTTTCCTCTTTAGCCATCCAACAAGAGAAGGAGGCACCACACCAAGTAAAGGGGAACCAAGGGGACAAAGTTCTGCAAGGATATTTTGCTCAAGCCCTCTTCCCGAAGCCTGGATCAAGCTTTGGACCACTCTTCAATAGTTGGTGTTCACTCAGTTCAGGCTCTGAATTTCCCCATGTAGCACATGTTATGCAGAGGTGTGGCTTCCCGGGTGTTTCTATCAGTTCTGCTCAACAAAGGTAGATGATCCTCCTTGGAAGAGTATTTGCTGCAGATACCTCTGTTCAAAAGGGCCAAGGCGTATAAAATTGTATCTGCAACTCTAGCCATTTTTACACCAGTTCTCCATGTAATTTGCATGGAGGGAGTGAGAAGTGGGATTATTCCTTCTGGATCTTTTTCCCAACCTTCAGACAAGTTCCGCAAAAGCAGGGGAGGAGCTGTGTGTTGTTGCATTGTGAGGTTGGGTCTCTGAAAAGTAACTCAACATCCACCCTTGCTCAATAAATGAAGACTATTTGCTGCACCCTTCTAGTTGTCTCAAGCTATTTTTTCCCTTCAGTTAACTCCTCTGTGATTTTATTATTATGGGACTTGATATTAATCCAGATACATAAGCCAGAAGATAAACCTATTATTTTACACTAGATACAGTAGAACTAAATTCCAGATTTGTTTTCTTGTCTCGGGATGTTCATTGTGGCAGGATTTAAAAATAATTAATCAATGGTTTTATTGGATAAGTGTTGATTTTTTTGCCTTTCATTTACTTTTCTTAGCAGTATACTAATTAACATCAAGTTTTGCATTTCTGTCTATTTGACTTGATATGGCCAAGGTGGGGGGTGGGGTCATAAAATGCAAATTCAGCATCATAGGCATTGCTTTCCTGTTTACCAGTATTTGATTATCTGCAAAGGTTGGCACAAATAAAATGCTGCATGATACTCTTTCCTGGTGATCCATGCAATTTAACAACAGTTCACTGGTGGTAGAGTGCCAGGTTTAGTTTAGCTCTTCTGAACAATTTTATCAAACAGTAATTAATTGGGTGAACTGTATTTAAATTATCCGAAGGAAGCATTGTATGTCAGCCATCTTGTGGAGAAGATTAAATAATCATTCCTCTAGAAAAATCTTGAGTATTCCCAGTGTAATGTTGATTTGATAAGCTTCTGAAGCAGATTAGCCTCATGGAGGCAGTTCAGCACCCTGAGCCTGATGATATGAAGAAAATATATTATTGTATCCATCATACAGCTAAATATGTAGCTTATGCTATTGGAAATAGTCTAAGAATGAACCAACAAGTGTATTTCCAGTCCATTTTTGCTTTGCTCCTGTTCATTCATAAATCTATAACAATCTTACCCTGTTTTCTCATACATCTATATTAAAATACCAAAATTCATACTATATTTAATAACACATGAAATATCTATTTTGTAAACAAGTAACTCACAATTACACATTTATTTACTCATTTGCATATTTGTTGAGCAATGTGTTATAAAATTTGAAAAAGTGTGAAAAACAAAGATAGCTATTCCTTACATAAGTTCAGGGACCATAAATCTGGTTTGTTCTCTTTAAAGTGTAGACGGAATGAAATGCTCCAGCATCCCTAGTTAAGCACGTCATTGCAGCCTTGATTTCGCCATAGTAGTTTAAGCCTTCTTTGGAAGCCTTAGTCTCTTTATGTGACTCTTGTTTCTTATAATCTTGAGGTGTTTATACAGGGATTTGCCTAAAGGAAAATTCACCATTAGGGGGCCCTTCAGAAGCACACCTGGTGCAGACTCAAGAGAGGGATATTTTAGTGGTTTCTCTGAGATTGTGGAACTCTCTCACAAGCCAGGCTACATTTGCTCCCTCTCCTAATCTTTCACTGGCTGTTCAATTTCATGGCATTTAAGAATTCCTTTAGCCTCTAAATTGGATTGGGTACTGTTTTTAATTTTAAAAAATAAAGTTTATTTTTTTGAAAAAGTTATGTGTTAATTGTATTCTAATGTATTGTTTTATTGCTTAAATCATTGTAATTAATTCTGTTTCCTTTACTCCACACTGGTTAGACCTCATCTTGGGTACTGTGTCCAGTACTGGGCATCACAGTTTAAGAACCATGCGGACAAACTGGAAAGGGCTCCGAGGACAGCAAGGTTGATCCAAGGACTGGAAACAAAGCCCAAAGGCAGAGTTTCAAAGAACTGCGTATGCTTAGCCTTGAAAAGAAAAGACTAAGGGAAGATATGATAGTACTCTACAAGTACTTGAAAGGCTGTCACAAAGAAGAAGGATGTGATCTCTTCTCAATTATCCTAGAATGCAGGACATGGAATAAGATGCTCAAGTTATGGAAAGCCAGATTCCAGCAAGATATCAGAAAAAATTTCCTGATTGTTAGAGCAGTATGACAATGGAACCAATGACCTAGGGAGGTTGTGGGTTTTCCCACGTTAGAGGCATTTAAGATGCTACTGGACAGTCATCTGGGAGGGATGGTGTTCTGCACTGAGCTGGTGGTTGGACCCAATGGCCTTCTGGCCTTTTCCAACTGTACTATTCTATGATTCTATGATAAGCCATCTTGGATGCCAATGTTTTGGGAGAGAGGTGAGGTAGAAACAAAACAATGATCAAAAAGAGATCCTGGCCCTCCTGTGTATGACAGCCTTTCATGTACTTGAAGAATGTATCACACCTTCCCTCGGTATTCTCTTCTGAAGGTTAAATATGCCCAGTTCTCATAGTCTTTCCACATTGTTGCCCTTGTCCAAACCCTTTCCAGTTTGTTTGCATTTTTCTTAAACTGCATTGCCCAGAAGTGGACACAGAACTCCAGATGAGGCCTAACTAGTGCTAAGCAGATGGCAACTTGTACTTTGCATGATACTTCTATCAATGCAGCCCAAATCAGCATTTGCCCTTTTTTGCAGCCATATCACATTGTTGACTCATGTTCAGTTTGTGGTCTGTGACAATTCCAAAATCCTACAACAATTCCAAGTGCCTTGTTATATTGATGAGCCAAGTATTTTCCATCTTGTAAAAGTGCATTTGGTTTGTTTTTCCTATGCACTGGATTGGCATTTGTCCCTATTAAATTTCATTCTGTTGTTTTCAGTCCAGGGTTCCAACCTAGCAAGATCACATTGAATTTCTTTTCTTTCTTCTGGGGTATTAGTAATCCCTCCCCATTTTGTTTCATCTGCAAATTTGACCATTCTCTGCACCTCCTCCTCCAAAGTATTACTAAAACGTTGAAGAGCGCTGTGCTCAAGCCTGTGGTACCATTCAACAAAGTTTGCTGCACCTAAAAGTGCATCTGTGATATGCTGGGAAATGTGTGACTAGTTCCTTGAAATGCTTTGGAAAAGCAGAAGGGAGCTCTTTTTATATATATGGAACCAACAACAATAAATATGATCAAGAACTCACGTAACTATATCCCAAAAACTCCAAAGACTGAAAGTATGATGCATTTCCAGATATAATGGTAGCCCCCAGACAAAGCAATAATGGATTAAATACTTTATAATTGGCTGCCTTTTGATGGTGTTCCACAAACCACCACTTAAGAAGGACATCTTCATCCTACTTTTTAGTAAACTTAAAGAAATAAAGTAAAAACAAATGCTAACAGCACCTTATTAGTTAAACTGATTTCCCAACTAAGTAATGCACCTAAATGATCTTCACAACCTGTTTTTAGGCCAACATGTTAGAAAAGGTAATTGGTGGATGACTCCTGCCCCACCCAGATGGTTAATATGTCAAGGCATCAAGAACCTAACCTTTATAACAGGATGCAAAGATCTAACTGTGTGTTGTTTTTGTTTTCTTCCCCCTCTTCAGTCAGCAGCAGAATATGTGAAGTCCCGTTTACCTGAAGTCCTAAAACAGCACCTTCAGGACTATGAAAAAGACAAGGAAAATAGTGTATTGTCTTACCAGACCATCCTGGAACAACAGATTCTTTCAATTGACCGAGAAATGCTGGAAAAGTTGACTGTATCCTATGATGAAGCAGGTATGTTGATCACTTAGGGGCAAAGCCAGGCTGCAGTCATAGGCTCTCCTAAGGTTTCTTGTAGAAGATATTCTGTAGTGTCTCTTTGAAACAGTAGGTATCTAGGAATACATGGTTCATTGTACTACATCTTTTCTGCAGAAGTGTAACTTTTTACAAGTATTCTGCAGATGAAAGTACACTTTTTTTTACAACCTCCAGGCAAAAGAGAGATTACTTGGTCTGTTGGCCCACTAGACAGAATGCTGAGAGAGAGAGAGAATACCATAACTGTAAGGGTTAAATCTGGTTTTCCCTTGCTGCATAAATTTCTAGGCTTTATACCACAATCCTTCTCCTGTTTCTCGTGACTTAACATGGTTGAACCCTGCTATCTTCCTATCATTAATGTTGTAGCATCTGCTTCATCAATCACTATTAAAAGAGAAACCCATCTGGGCTACATATGTGGCATAATCAAGAACTGTAATTCAGTTTTATATAATCTGAAGAGCAAAGCACACGAAAGACTTGACAAACACTTTAGAAGCATTTACAGTTTGTAACTTTTTGTGATGTAAAGAAGGGACAGAGATTTACTTTTTAATGGTAGGTGTGTCCACCTATCCCTTTCAACATTAGAAGAAAAGTATTTTATAGGAAAATTACACATATTTAAAAGAAGAAAACTTATTTTTTGCCTTTATTGGAAAATACATGTTTGGACCTGAAATGTGTGAAACATATAAAAATTGTGAATTTTAATGCTGAAGTGAGGCAATCATCTTGGAGTGAAGAGCTGCATAAACAAGTCTAGAATAAAGTGTATGTGTGATGTGCAATTTAAGCAACAACAAAAATGCCTTTAGCCTGGCAGACTCTGAACAGAAGTCCTGTATTTATACCCATAATGAGGAAGAAATACTTCCTTAGCATTCTAATCAAGTCTCTTGTTCAGTACAAGAGAAGTAATGGGGCTACCTGTTCTGAAGCAAGTCCTGATTACAACTACCATGTAAAATACATGTAGGGCTTTTTAAAAAAATAATAATTGCAGCAGATGTTCACAATTCCAAATCCTCCAGCCATTCAGTTACATGACAATTCTCAGGATAGCATTTCCTCCTGTTGTGACAGATTTCACTGCTTTGTCATACCCCTTTAATTTTAATGAGAAGGCCAATCTGTTCCCGATTCTACATAGTATGTGTACTGAGGGCCGGGGGCTTGGGAGAAGGAAGGAGGACAGAGGAGTTTTCAAATGGAGCAAATTATGACCACCAGGTGAACGTCTAGCTGTCTTCACATACATCAGCAGGATGGCAACAGCAGATATTCTCTGTGTCTCAATTACTTAACTTATAATCACAAGCAGCTGGAGTACTCCTAAGTGCTCACTGTAAATCTAATCTGGATTTAAATTTCTTGAGATATCTGACATACTGAAACTTCTACCTCAGACATGATCAATATTAGTGCTCAGCTTTTTCTAGCAGTGAAATCATATACACACAGGTTGGGGTCTTTTTTCAGCCTGTGGGCATATTTGTGGGTAGCACCATAAAATGTTTGTTGTAATAAGCTGGCAAGTCACAAAATGCCTATGCTGCATGTGAACAACCAGAAAGAGCAAGTAACCCAGTTAGAAATGAGAAGCTGGATTTGAGCCCAACATACAAAATTACATATTTGATTCCATATTGTACTCCAAAATACCATTTTTTCAGAAAGCTAAGAGGTGATGCTCAGGAGACAAGTAGTTTGCCCAAGAAACTGAATAGAAAACAAAGGTTGATTCTGGGTCTCAGAACTAAGTCCTCTCTTCTGAACCATCAGTTTTCTGCTCCAAAACAGTATCCATTCCAAAGAAAGAAACAAAATAATTTATTATTAATCATTACTCTAAAATTAATTTATTTCCCCAAATTAAATGGACGATCACTTTCATCCAGGTATCAATTGATGTTCAATTACCTTTCAGTCTTCTAGGTGTTCAGGAAAGTGGAAAAGTATGAGCCACCCATTTACAGGAGCAATCAGTTTTGAAGGAGCTGTCAAAACACAAACTTTTTAAAAAATAGGGTTTTTGACAGGGCTAAGCAGTGTTTTTTCACAGGAGTCTATATGGACTAAAACAGATGTTACTTTGGATCTGTATCTAGCTGCTACATCAATCTATGGAATATGCTCCCCAGAGAGGTCCGCCTGGCGCCGTCGTTATTTGTTTTTCGGCGCCAGGTGAAGACCTTTTTATTTAAACGTCATTTTAATTGTTAACAATATTTACTTATTTATCTGGCCAGGGTGACTTCTTTTCTTTTCTTTTATAACTTTTCTAACTCCTTTTATATCGTTTATATTTTTTATTTATTTTATATTATTAATTTTAATTTTATATTGTTATTTTTGTATTGTATTGTATTGTGTTGTAAGCCGCCCTGAGGCTTCGGCAAGGGGCGGCATGGAAATGTTCTAATCATCATCATCATCATCTTTAAAGTCAGTGCAGGAAGCTTAATTGGGATGAGGACCCTAGTGTAGGGAGGGTGAATTTGAGTTTTGGATTAGGACCTTTGCACCTAAACTGCCATAAAAATGAAAATATATGGCTGGAAAACTCAGATTTCAAATAATGTGTGCTTTCACCTTTACTGGGCAGTTGAACCTGGGTGTCCCCTTTCCTAGTACAACACTCTTATCCACTGGCTATTTGCCTGAACAGCCTCACCCTGATAGATCTGTTGGACATGGCAATTTATTCTATTCAAGCTGCCTGATAACTCAACATATTTAGGCATTAGGCATTACCCAAGAGGAATTACTGCGTGCAACGCCTGTAACATGAGATGTACAGGAGAAAGGATGCTTTCCTACTGCAGACAGAGCTGGTAGTGGGGGACAACCATATGTGAGCAACTTGTATTTGTAGCACATGTACTGTCAGTGTAGCTTTAAATAATTGATTGGAGTAAAATGTGATCTACTGCTCGTCTTATTTTGTTGGGGGTGGGAGGCAGAAACAAGCAGGAAGGATACTGAATTTAAGAACACAGGAAGAATCCTGCTGTGTTAAACAAACCATCAGCAATCAACATTATTTGTACCAATGTATTTATTTTCCACAGGGCATTGTGTTCTGAGTGTTTCTCATAAAACAAATACAATCACCATAATTATGAATATAATACATAAAAATACAAACTTGCTCAAAGTTCATTTAAAACATGTGAAAATATTATCATTATCATTATTATCCTGTTTAATATTAGTAGGTTAATTAAAATTACCCAAGATGAATAACAACATACTGACCTGGTTTGCACTTCATGGTGGCGATTCCTGGGTTGTTCAACCCAGGAATTTCCACGAACAGGGGGATTATGCAAGACTTTCCACTGTTAATTCCTAAATTGACACACAAAGTGGGAAACTCTAGCTTGTTTCTACATTGAACAAGCCAGAAATAATGCATGGTTTGTTACTGGGTATTCTCTGTGTTTAATCCATAGAAGATCCAGTTTCTAGGTCCACTCATCATGAAACAGCACGTGTACAATAATTGTTAATTAACAGTAGAATTTGTGTGTTCAGACTTCACTCATCCTCATCAGTTCCTGGGTTAAGCAACCCACCATGACATGTTAACAGGATCATACTTACATCAGGACCAAAGAGTTCATATGCAGAGATCTAATAATAAGATAGCTCATCCATATCATATTCAGCAAAAAGGGGAGAGGAAAAGAACACAAGCCACTTAGAGTAGCCAACCCTCAGGCAGTGCAGGGAGACCTTTCTCTCACCAAAGACTCATATCCTACATAAACTGTGTGCTCCTGACAGCTCCCCTTCAGTCTGCTTCTTGACAGCAGGAAAGACAAGATGGAAAATGCCTGTCCTTGGGCAGGTATCTTGACATGGACCTGGAGATGGAACAAATGCTGTCAAGCACACAGAAGTAGCAGCAAATTGCCAGGGCTGGCAGGCTCCATCAGATCCTGCATCCTGTTTCTCATGCAGACTGCACAGGTGTTTTCAGAGGAACACTGAGGTTGCATGTGGGTCCAGTAACCTTATTCATATTTTCACCTGAAATAGGATCATCCATCCACCCCACAGCCTTATTTTTTGTTCAAGCAATTCTAGGCATGGAATGCCCTGGAACCAGATAATGATAAGGTGGATCTTTATCAGATGTTACGGATATGGCATCCATATGACAGGCTATATCCAGATATATCTGCATAATGTTCCTAATATGTGGACCAGCCACAAATCTTTGATTTCAAGTTCCATACTTTAATGGAATTCTTAGACAGAAATTCAAACTAGTAAAAAAATGGATTATATCCACTGGGATATATCCAATATTAGCGTAGCTTACCTAAAGCCCCATTTGTTCCAACGGATTGGCCCTCAGTGCAACTAACTTTGGATAGAACTCAATTCTACTGTCACTTAGACCGCTCATCCATCTTTGAAAATATGAGGGCTTATAATTCAGCTTTGGATGTTAATTTGGCCTTCCAACTACACCATAACTTAACTTGACATCCTTAACAATTTTCTTTGTAAATCTTTTCCATTAGTAAGTCAGTACATCAAAGCTACCAAGCAGAATTAGCTTAGCTAAAAATAGTCATACGTGCTGACAAGATTCCCAGTCAAGTTTTAACTAAGGAAGCTTTCCAAGAGGAAGCCATGGCAGATAGAACAGATGCTTTCATCAAATTGCCAGATAACATTTAAGTCCTGTTGTTTTAAAAGTGGCATTCTTAATGAGTCTTTAGAATAGATTGGCTTAGTGGAAGCAGGAGAAGGGTAATGCCTCACTGGGGATAACTCAGTTATCTGTTCTTATGTTTGTAGTTCCATTGTACATTTTATGCACATACTCATATGCACATAAAAAACACTTTGATATAGCCTTGTACCTGATGGAGAGTGTGAGAGTTCAAGGCTAAACCTAGGGTAGGGATTGGAGGGCCCTCTAGATGTTCTTAGATTACATCTCCCATAAT